AGAGGATTGTAACAAAGCTAGGAATTCGAGATTTTATTTGGCACGACGAATTACTGATTTGGTGCAGGGTTGAGGCAATCCACTATCCATGAATACCTAGCCTAACTGCTATCATAAATGACTACTCCCGATTACTAATTGCAGATTACAATTACGATCCAACGCGGTGGCTACAGGAGGTGATAATTACAGTACGCATGTCGATGACCACCTCGAATTATAAATAGCGCACAATCTGTGCATGTCTTATACCATTCTACAGTTACCTATGGATTCTCGACAGACTCCGAAGCGTCACGGAAATAGTAGTTTTGTTCCTGTGATTGCAACTTGTCCTTAACTGTCTCCTGGAACTCGTGTATTTTCTTCTGTCGGTAATTGTGGTTTAGTTAAGGGTTAAGACAACCTGCAAACCCTAAATACCTAGCTTACCTGGTATCTCGCACTAACAGTGCTGACTACCATATACAAGCACAAATCATGCATAATACCGATTAACATGTTTCTGCTACTGCTTTTGTATACAATAGCAGGTCTTCTTGGAAACTTGATACTCGCTGCGATCAAATTTCATTGTCCAGATTCCGCGCGTCCTACTTATCAACCATGTCTATTTGCATGCTATCTGTCCCTCGTAATGCTGCCGCTATGGTGCTAGCCTGGTTAAATCGGTACATACAACTACATATATTTATGTCACATACATTTATTTGAGCAGGTCGCTGTTGCGGCTTCACATTCTGTGAACGTTCCAAATCTGTTTGCGTTTCCGTCACAACCATGGTAGATGAATTGCCTGCAGGCGCCGATGTCAGCATCGTAGCCATATTGAGGCAAGTTTTGCTCGCAGAAACCCGCTACTATAGGCGCATTGCATTTGTCATAGGGAGCTGAAAAACACAAGGCAAAGCTAAGAAAACGGGCTATTGAAGAACAATCCAAATGGTTGAACAGCAGTTCTGAGAGGCCAAAATAAGTTCTTTGGCACTTATAAACACAAAAGTACTTTACTTAGAAGAAGTACAGTATGGAAATCCTGCATGCAACTTTAACGACGAAATTTAACTTGGTAGTCTAGTACATATTTTGACTGTCTATTTTGATCAACTGAGTGGATTAAATAATTAGAAAGACTTAAGTTTGTAAAACTGCCCTCTTAGTTAAATTTATGGAGCGAAATAGGCACTGATTTTGGCTAAATTATGAGTAAGTTTTTATCGAAGAAATTTCCTATGCTATAAGATTCGACAGGACCAAACTTCTTATTAATATGCAATGTGCTATGGAAGAATTCCAGAAGTTGCCCAAGTGGAAATGAAGCCAGGTTTAATGAATTGCATTTATTTTCAGAAACAAGCAACAATTTAACTTTTAAAAATAACGTTTTGCTATTCTGTTAAGGAATAAAAATATCTGAGTTACCTTGCGGACGTTATTTTTTCTCGACAATATGGTTTGCTATTTTGAGGCATTTCTGAATATCATCCGCATG